CGTGCCAGAAATAGCATTTGCACATGCGTTTGCGCATGTGCGCGCACTCCAGCCCACCGTGGCGTCTGTGGGACCGTGAACCGGCCCAAGCCACAAAAACTTTGCCGCCCCCGCACTATATGGTGAGCGCAGGGGGTTGAGAGTGTGTGTGTGAGCTAATGGACAGAATGCCACACGGTCAGTTTGCAATTTTTTTTGGTACAGAAAGTACTGGCTTAAAGTGTAGAGATCTTTCCTATTCTATTCGATTCAAGAGGGTTCTAGAAGCTTCTCTGTGTGATACAAGCTGGTGCAAGCTGGAAGTTTCTAGCTAACAACAAGCTTCTGTTCCGCCTAGAAACAAGCAGAAGGTTCCTGATGTTTTGGTTATTCCTTCAGAGAAGCTGAGTACAGCTGGTTTAAACTGGTTCTGTTATTGCTTTCACTCAAGGTTATGCTGACTATAATAATAGTCCTGTGAACTATTTCCTGTGAACAGGAAAATCTGGCAACCTTAAAGCAACACTTCACGCTAATAATTTGATTACAACACTTTACTAAATTGTAAATTGATTACTAAATTGTATCTTCATTCAAAGTCAAGTGGCATACAATTTATACAAGGTAACACCAACTAATGTAACTTAAGCAAATTTCCCATTTTTGGATGGTTTATCAAACGGAGAATAATTCAAGTTCAACATGCCTTCCAAATTAAGTATAAAGTCCCAACCACAGCACAGATTCACCTGGTTATATACACGACTTATTCACTGAATCAGTGAAAGCTGAACCATTTGCAACTTATGTACCTTCTCAGACCTCTTATTTGCTGAGGAGCAAAGTTTGAAACAGTCGGTTATCCAGGAAGGACTGTCCTGCTACTGCCTCTGGAGCACCAACTTCTTTCAGCATGTTCACTGCTAAATATTTGAATAAGATACAATTTAGTAGCTATATAAAGTGTTGTAATCAAATTATTAGCCTGACGTGTTGCTTTTAAGTTGCCAGACTATAATAATAGGCCAGAAGGAGCCTGGATTTCAATTTCTGTCTCTCTTTCCTTCTGCTGTGGGGTTCTGTACATAGTATGCTTAGTGTTAAGGTTTTAGTCTTATTGTAAGTTTAAGTTAGGAACGCGGGTGGTGCTGTGGGTTAAACCACAGAGCCTAGGACTTGCCAATCAGAAGGTCGGCGGTTCGAATCCCAGCGACTGGGTGAGCTCCCGTTGCTCAGTCCCTGCTCCTGCCAACCTAGCAGTTCGAAAGCACGTCAAAGTGCAAGTAGATAAATAGGTACCGCTCCGGTGGGAAGGTAAACGGCGTTTCCATGCGCTGCTCTGGTTCGCCAGAAGCGGCTTAGTCATGCTGGCCACATGACCCGGAAGCTGTACGCAGGCTCCCTCGGCCAATAAAGCGAGATGAGTGCCGCAACCCCAGAGTCGGCCACAACTGGACCTAACGGTCAGGGGTCCCTTTACCTTTTTTAAGTTTAAGTTAAGTCTGCTGCGACTGGATTTCTTATGGACTCTGCCGATCCTGAAGATGTAATGGATTTGTGACCATTATGCTCATTTGCCTTCAGTAGTAGTAAATTCTGCTGGATGAAGAACTGATTGCCTCTGGTCTATTTTTTTGTTTTGTTTTGGTTTTTTGGAATCCTGCAACCTTTTTATGTTTTTAATCTGCTAACTACACATTGGGGTCTCCTTCAGATCAGTATGAGCGGAATTCATGACACACACTTGGATGGAGTAAACCTGGGTACAAAAGTCTAGTGAGTCATGATGAAGCTCACTGGATGGCCCTGGGCTGGTTCAACTTCTCTTGGCTTGGCCTCTATCACAGGGTTCATGTGAGGACAACAGAGGAAAGAGGAGAGGAGAGGAGGAAGCTAGACTTATTGGAGGAAAGGTGAGATAAATCCACAGTCAATAAATAAAGCACAAAAACTACCAGACTGGAAAAAGGTAGGTCAGGGAATAGCTCTACCATCCCTAGGAGCTGTTTGAAGCGCATCCACCCACAAGCTCAGTCTGGCACATTGACAACAGCGGTTTTCTATGCTTAACTTCCCCCAGGTTGCTAACTCACTGGAGAATCCCACTTGTGCAAAAAAGGCGAGTGGGATGTCCACAACCCCACCACCAGGGCAGAAAGGGAGCAGTTAAGAAGCCTGACTTGGGTCCATTGTTGTCACACGAGGGCTGGATTTTCTGGATCCTGTGCTGGCACAGTCCCTCATCCCCCAGATCAGGGTGTTTCTGTTGGCTAGTGCCAACAGGAATGTCACTGGTGGTAGCTTCCACCCAACATTTCAGCGAGCACATTGCATGCTTCTTGTTAGAAGAGCTTCTCCACCAATGGTGGAGTTTTTCCAACAGTGGAGGCCAGCAGAGCTGGGCAAGGCTAGGGCAGAAGGACATCACCCCAACTTCCTCCAGCACAGCAGATCCGGGACTTGGATTGTTCTGCCAATTTTGAGATGAGCAACTGAATATTGTTAGTATAAAGGGGTTGGAGAGGAAAACACATCAACTCCTCGGAGGAATTGCCAGATATACAGCTAATAAATGAATGAATTTGTCATCATGCTAGTCTTGTAGCTGGAACATACAGGCATCTGTTGCAAACTGTTGCCTGAAATTATTAAATCACCTGCAAATATTGAATGTCTGTGTTAGAAAGCCAACCTAGACATTAACACAGACAACATTTCCCTCGTAATGTCCAGGGTGGTGGTGCATGGTGTCATATTGTCAGGTTCAGTTCTCCCACCCCAAAATGAAACCAATGAATCAGAGCAGGAAAGGGAAAACCATGAACCCAATGCAACAATACCCTGCATTTCTTTTAACTAAACATTGCCGAAGAAACACAGGTTGATACACTCACATAACATCTAGTAAGGCCCACAGATTTTTCTGAAACTGCTCTCTCCTAACAGTTGTACAAATATTTAGTATTCCCAGAGATTCTAAACCCAGGTGAGTAACCAACTGATTAGCTAGGTTTTGCTGCAGTTTTATCTGTGTTCCAAAATCCTATATCAGAACTGAACAAAATCTCTAACCAGAGTCAGTAGCTAAGAGCGATATTTAACTAAGCTTTCCTCAAAGCAGACCCATTGAAATTAATGACTGAGTTAGGTCCATGAGTTTCAGAGGGTCTAAGAAAAAAATAGTTGAATGCCACCCAAAATATTCAGGATTATAAGCTGTACCAGCACCATATGAACCCAGAATTGCACAGTTCCTGCAAGACTAACTTTTTAGGAGCTATTGCAAGATTTGCAAAGTAAAGAAATGGAGTACAGTGTTAACATCTCATGTGGGAACAATGTTATGTCTCAAAGCTCAACATATACCCATCAGATGAACCTACAAAATGGACTTTCCTCTTCAACATCATGCCAGCTGCTATTGTGCACCAAGCTGCCTTAAAACTAAAGCACACTTTCAGCCTGTAGATATCTGCCTGGCAGAACACACGCTTTCTTGATTGAGAATCAAATCTGAAAACATTGTAAATAAGCTACAATGTGGTTTCCAGATGCTATTTGACTACAACTCCCATCAGCCCCTGCCAGCACAGTCATGGGTCAAGGGTGATAGGAACTGAAGCCTTTATGGAGGCCACCATGTTGCCTAACCTTCATCTATGGACTTTGGTGATTCTGCAACATACCTGACAGATCTAACACTCGCAGAACCTATAAATCACCATTGGTTGCAATGCATAAATAGCATCACAGCAACTAAAGTGCCCTTCTGCAAGCCTGACAAGTAGAAAACTCCTCTACCTGACTTTGCTATGGAGACGATGGCACCACCTCTGCTTGGTCCCTAGCCCAAAAGGTTACTAGCAGGGAGGCAATCCATGCTTCCTCCATCCTCCATCAGTGCTACAGAAGTAGCAGCAGTTAAGCATCAGTTAACCTTACCAGCAAAGCTGCACCAGAAGATGCTCAGGTGCCAGGTGTGACTGAAGCCAGCAGAGGAGCAGCATCATGCCTGACCCTCGGCAATGCAGTGAGTCCCAGCTTCCACAATCATAAATGTGGAAATCCCAAGGCGCGTGTTTTTAAGCGCTATGGGGAATGTACGTTGTTTTTTATTGACCTGTACTAGCCAGTTGTCTCTGCAAAAGGGGCTGGTACATTTTCCTCTTTCTCTCTCTGCCACGGTGGGGATCTACTTGCTGTAAAACAATGATGTGCGACAAATGTTGGTGGGTACATGAATATCCTTTCTTTCATTGCTGCCGTGACCAAAAGAAAGGCAGAAATACAGGTGAGGGGAAAAGGGAACGTGGAGAATGACCACACCTCTTTATCACACAATTCGGGAAAGGCAAGTTGAAAGGGGCTGTGTTAAGACTGCATCCACCCCTTTCGTTTTCCACATGGGGATAACAGCTCTTTCCCAGGTTTTTCAATCCATTTCTGATGGATCTACATGCCACATCTCAGCCTTGGTTCTGATGCTGCCGCAGCAAACCCACTCCACAGACTCCGCTCAGTCAAATGGCGTGTTGCCATTAGAAAGAAGGAAACATAATCAAGGGGCCATCTTTACGGGTATTTACAAGGCATGCGGACATCATCGGTCTCATCATTGCAAGCACATTGGAGGTTTACAATGTTTATTTGAATGGCTCTCAGCTCCTTGTCGCCACGAGCATCAACACGCATGACACAGAGGAACGGAAACTCGGAGAAAGGGGGAGAGAGAGATAGATAGAGAGTAGTGAGAATGCATGGGGATGGACTCTCTGAAAACATACAGACCTTGGAGACGGCTCAGGCTGCTGCTCTTTCCTTAAAACAGAAGCAAAAGTACATTAGCAGTGGAGTCAGGCGAAAGAGGGAGAAGGGTATTCACAGTTGAAGACAAGGAGGACAGGATCAAACAGAAGGTGGCGACAAGGCAGGGGGAGGAAAAGTATGGGGCACATAGAGATTCTCAACGTAGAAGCAGCTTGTCAGGTGTGGCAGAGTGGTTTTGATAGCTTTCCGGCAGGTGGATTACTCTTGCTTACCGTGAGGGAGAGAAGGAGGAGCGAGGCAGCAGGAAAGCTGGTGTGGTGCAAATGCAACGGCAGGTGCACCAGAATTGGTTCTGCTCCTGTGTTTGCACCACACCAACTTCCCCGCCACTTTGCCCTTCCTCTTCTCTCCCCCACCCCCAAGTAGGCAACAGGTAGCCATCTGCCTGGAAATTGGTATTGTGGCTCCACTCCACCCAGCGAGCCCCTACATATGCACAAAACAAGGCTGAAACAAAAAGATTGAAGCACATTTCAGAATCGGACTCTTTGAACCATGGGATTGGATCAAGGTGACTGTTTTTTTAAAAAACGGAGTCATGCTCCTTCTCAGTATACCAGGCTCGAAACATCACACAGGGAGCTGTTCCCTCTAACTTTCACGCTTTCATGTAACCTGTTTTCACAGCTTGAAAATAGCTCCGTTTAAGACTGATTCTGTGTGATGCACTTGCAACATAGAAACTTCGCTCCCCCAACAAAGTCACACAGAAAAAGAGGGTAATCCATCAATTTATGGACCAGACAGGCAGAGCAACACTTAACATGTTAGAGGTGACCTCGTCTGCATTACACAGTCTTGTGGACTAAATCGAGAAGACATTGTCAAGGCCACAGTCACTTCATGGTGATCTCTGCTTCCGCCCCTCTTAAAAAGAGGATAGAATTTGTAAAGTCTTAGAATAAAACTTTCAAGAAATCTTTGGTGAAAGAGGGCAGGTGACATATGTGCTATAAACACCCCAAAATCGCCCTGCACAAAAACAGAAATTGCTTCAAGCAATGAAGGAAGGCCAAAGGAGAGAATAGTCAAAAACTGATTTCAAACAGAGAATATATTATAGAAAATAAAAATTCTCAATGCATATTGCCAATGTATTTTCTTCAGTGGCGATAGTTCTATACAGTTTCCTGTTTCAACCAAGAGCTGCCAAGAGTTCTGGTTTTCAAGTGGAATGCCTCTCAGGGAATGCCAGGAGACTCACAGAGCTAGGCTGCCCTTGGTGGGAAAAACACATTGGGGGAAAACACATTATTTCAACTAATTATTAATTTGGCACCTGCTGAAGTTTGTTTCTAGTCTTAAAAAAACCAAAAAACAATTATACTCTCCTTTCTTCTTTTTATTTTCCTAGTTGAGGCAACTCTCTTAGCAATATTGTAATAGACATTGGCAGGAAAATAAAACTTTTCCATAATGCATTATTATTTCGGCTTCCTGAACTTTCCTGAAGAACCAGCTTAATAAACTGTACCTCATAACTAAAGTCTTTGTTGCTACAATCTCGTGGAAGTATATTAATATTAAAACATGAGTTATATCCACGCTTCTTCTTTTTTAAGAAGCCGGCTGCTCTTTACCCCTTGCAATCTGTTTTTACCTAAGCTATATTTCTGTCAAGTCAGTGTTTTGAAGCCACAAGCAAGGTCAGCCATGCACTTGCAGCACATTTGCAAACTCAGGAAAAGTAACATATGGTTCACATATGGAGGTCAAGAGAAAGAAACTCAGTCATGGCCTAAAAGTCATAGGATTTATTTTGAAATTCTTCAGACGCTGGGAAATGAATATTATTTCCAGGTCATGGCTGGGGAATTTTTGTAAAGTCAATAGACCATGGTTTAAAGTGTATTCATTTTAGGTCTTTTCTTTGTTGGAATCATATGGAGGGAATTTAGAAAGCAGCTAAGTTCTTCCACCAGAACCTCCCTGGCTCTTCAGTCAGAAAGAAAACACATTTCTGCATTTTAACCTCTCCTCTTTGGGATAGCTCAGAAAGATCATGGGGGCACGAGATTATTTTAAATTAAGAAATGCATGTTCCCTAGACTCCCTTAGAAAACACTTGACATGTTTTTACTGGTGTTTTTGTATAAGTCTGACACAGTGCTTTGCTTCCAGCAGGTGGAAAAGGTGCTGGTACTCTGGATGGCTGCCCTGGGCACAAAAATTCCTCAGGGGGGGCAGGGGGAATTACGTGTAAAACAATTTCACGTTGTACAGGAACGTCATTAAAATCTTGACATATAGTTATTACATGATGTGTGATGATTAAAAATACATTAAAATGTCACACATTAAAAACTTCCCTGAATAGGGCTGCCTTCAGATGTCTTCTAAATGTCAGGTAGTTGTTTATCTCTATGACATCTGATGGGAGGGCGTTCCACAGGGCCACTACCGAGAAGGCCCTCTGCCTTGATTCCCTGTAGCTTTGCTTCTCGCAATGAGGGAACCGCCAGAAGGCCCTCAGAGCTGGACCTCAGTGTCCGGGCAGAACAATGGGGGTGGAGACGCTCCTTCAGGTAGCGTCACAGACACATTGTGATTCGTGATACATCGCCATGTCAAATATCATGAAACCATTAGAACGATGTGGACTTCAAACCAATTTTGGACGACGTATCAATACATCACCCAGTCCTAACTAACACACACACACACATTGCATGTTCACATAACACATATAAAGGGTGCCTGTGGAAGGAACCTAGTGTTGTCTATGAAATTTTCTTTGGGGGCATGGGCTGGATCCACGACCATCTAACTCACCTGAAAGTCAGTCCAGATTTGCTCTTCAGGTTCCTCAGGAGCTCTAACTGGTTCAAAGGTGGGATGAGCCTAAAATGGAAGAAGGAGAAATGAGAGGAGGAAAACTCAGATTGAGACAAGAAGCCAAGCGTTTCAACTTCTTGCTGTGGAAACCGCTTCCCTCCCCTGCAATTCTGCCTTGCAAATACAGAAGGAGAGGAACGGCTTTTAATAGCTTAGACACCCCGAAAGAAGGCGGGGATGAGATAAAAATAGCAAAATGCGGATGGGGAAGGCTGTTCCCCTAATCTCTTGGCTTTAAACTCATGGAGATAGGAGGAGGACCAAAAGGATTAGTTAAACCTGAGCACAGCAGTCAGCGGTGTGTCACACTGTTGTTTCTCAGTAGGCAAGGCTGACAGCAAAGCTTTTCCACCCTGTCCTCAGTTTTCAGAGCCTTCCCTTTACATGACGGTCGCCTCAGAGGTCCATCTGGCCTCTGGAGCTTCCTTCCACATAAGCCTCATAATCTCTTCCTTGGACACCACGGCTGACAGCAAAGCTTATCTAGGAGGAAGACCCAGGAATCTAAGGAAAATCTTTAGTGTAAAGAGAATGCCATAAAAAGCAGTGATGTATGGGGAGTTTGGCAAAGTATCACAACAGGGTTTTAATCCTGGTGGTGTCCATGGGATTGAGTGGGGTGAAGAAAAGAGTCTTCAAGTGTCAAGGGAGGAACCCACAGAATCCTCAAATCATATTTTTATGAGATCTGGATTCTACATTAAAATAGGGTTTCCATCTATCAGGGCTAGGTATCAGCTGTAGTTTTCCCTGCACTCTTCTTCAGAGCTCTGAGGGCCGAACTACATGTTACACTTAACACAACGGTGTGTTTTTTACTAAACACTATCCCCATGTGTTATGTGGGTGGGGTGGGGGGAAGCATTTTCTTCCTGATCATAGCTGGGGAGGGAGAGATTAAGCCTCACCTCTTCCCATGCTGCAATCAGAATAACAATGGGGGCTTCCTTCACCCCAAATCGAGGGGAAACAGAAGACAGATCTGCATTCCCCTATGAGGAAAGGCTACAAGACTGGAGCTTCAGGATTTGAGTGGGGAAATTAAAATAAAGGGAGACATGATTAAGGAGAATTATGCATTGTGTGGAGAAAGAGGGTAGATATTTTTCTACTTCTCTCACAACACTAGATATAGTAAAGGTAAAGGTAAAGAGACCCCTGACCATTAGGTCCAGTCGTGACCGACTCTGGGGTTGCGGCGCTCATCTCGCTTTATTGGCCGAGGGAGCCAGCATACAGCTTCCGGGTCATGTGGCCAGCATGACTAAGCCGCTTCTGGCGAACCAGAGCAGCGCACGGAAATGCCATTTACCTTCCTGCCAGAGCGGTACCTAATTATCTACTTGCACTTTGACGTGCTTTTGAACTGCTAGGTTGGCAGGAGCAGGGACCGAGCAACAGGAGCTCACCCCGTCACGGGGATTCGAACCGCCGACCTTCTGATCGGCAAGTCGTAGGCTCTGTGGTTTAACCCACAGCACCACCGGCAATGACCACCAAATCAGATTGTTCTAAAGGGGGGTTAGATCAATGCATTTGATAAGGCTATCAAAGGCTAGATGTCATGATGTCTCTATGCTGCCTCTACAATCTAGCAGTTGCTATGGGGTAATTGCAGGAGAGGACTGTGTTTATTCATGTCCTGCTTGTGGGCTTTGCAGAGGCCAAAATTCAAGCAGCAAATCCAAAAACAAAACGTTGGACTAGATACTCTAACCACTACACCACACTGCCTTCCTAGAGTACTTCTGCTATGGGGCAGCTCTGTAAATTAAGTCAGTAAATAAATATGGGGAAAGCAGAATGCCCCTTAGAGAAGGATCTGAAATATTATCCTGGAATCTTGAACTCGTTTTATTCTGGGTGGTTTTATGGGATGTTTCAATGTGTTGTCAACCGCTTTGAGATGTTTTCTTTACAATCTAAAGCAGTATAGAAATGAAAATAATAATAATAATAATAATAATAATAATAATAATAATAATAATAATAATAATACTGTGATGTCTTTGGCCCAGTCCAGCAGCCCTCTTCTTATATTTTTACAAGTGCTTAATCTGTAGTTTGACTCTTAATGTAATGAACAGAAACTCCTGCCTTGAAACTAGAAAATATGGGCTGTAGTGGCCTTGGCAACTGGTGGTTGCCAAGCAACAGAGCCCGAGGCCTTCCTTCTTACTGGCAGCACTGGATCTTTACTGGTGGTTGCTGGGCTACATAGTTGGACTGAAGTCCTGTCTCCCCACTTCTGCTTGTTGCTAATAAAACTAATTCTGGCCATAATCAGGGCAAAACAGGTTCTAGAAACATGGATATATGACCACAAGTGTAGACTGGAAACCAGTATTAGTAATACAGTATACCCAGTGCTACATTTTTCTAGAAAAAGAGGTGCCGGAACTCACCATGAACACCTCCATCATTCTCTTAGAATAGCAATGGTGCCCAAACTGAGTTCGGTGAGTTCTGGCTGAAAAAAAAAGCCCTGAGTATACATTATTTTCAGGCAGAAATTAATTAGGAAGGGTTTGAGGGGCAGTTCTCAA